TATATATTAGGAACCCTACAGGAATTCTGTTGTCCAGACTCCAGTAAAGGAGGCAATTCTGCTCCATATAGCTAAGTCAATTATGAACTTAACTGAAGGAAGGACCTTGAAGAAAAGAGTATCTAATTACATATTTTTCCTCATTTTAGAATCTGGAAAAGTGTCATTTAAAATAGCATTAAGAGAACTGTTTTTGAAAATTTGGAGTTGTACTGATGGATTCAAATTTGATGAGGTGTAAACATCCACTTTTCTCATTAAATTATTTTTGTAAAATTCAGGAGGCTGTGACAGTATCAAGAAAAAGTCTTCTGTGGTGTTCCCATGCATCACTTGTTCATCATAAACCACTTTTTCAGGCATCGAGATGTTCATGCTTTCTACCATTTTTGCTCTGGTATTCCATGTTTTGGAACTTAATAATTAGCCTCTGATACTTTATCACTTAAGTTGATATTCCTAATCAGCTATTCTACATACATCACACTGGTGTCAAACACCCAATTTAGGATTCATAAACTGAGAAAGAATAGTTAATTTAAATTGTGCCTATTTTGTCTAGAGCATAATTGGAAAGGCTAATTTCTCTTACAAACTACTTTTTACATCTTGTTAAGAATAAGATTGACTTATTTCTACTACTCTAGTGACAAGCATCTTGAGCTGGTGGTTATACCTAATACTATTACTGTGTTGTACAGAGTAGTCCATGATGTGATCATGTACAAAGACTGGGACAGTGTAAATGAGGTACATGCTGGAAAAGCATTTTTTTTTCAAATAGATTTTAAGATTATTCTCCCATTTTTGTGACTGAAACATTTGATAATTTCAAAACATGCTTTGGTGAAGTATTCGTAAGAACTAAAGATTATTTTTCTAACCCTTTCTCAGTCTGAAATGTAAATTAAGTACATGCTATTAACTTATATCTCTGTCTAAATTTTAAAATATTTACGCTATGATTAAAAGAATTTAAATATCTGTTTAACAGGATTGCTTATCTTTTGTAATATACTTTATACAATGGTGTTACATTTGTAAATTGATCTGTTCCTTAATATTTTTTTTCCCACTTTGAGCACATTACTTGATTTGCCAGAAACTTTATAAGTGCTACAGACAAACTAGAAAAGATTCACTGACATCTTTTTAATAGCTATTAAATTAATAAATTCTCAGATTCTGCAATTAAATGTTATCTGTAAAGAGTTGGTATGCCATTAATTTCAGAAAGTGATTGCACTAGTGAAATACGTTTACTACCTTAGCTGGTAACTTGGTATTAGAGTAAATGGAAGTTTTGAAGAAAGACTGTGGCACTCAGTGGCCAGAAGACTTTCTATTTAGAGAGTGATTTTTGTGGATTGCCTTTGGTAGCTTAATAGTATTAATTCAGTTATTGTCAAAAGAAACTTATTTTAATTCTACAAAAATATATTGCAATGAAAAACTCTTTATACCTATGATTTTCTTCTTTTCTTTAGTGGAAGATGTTCAGGTCTCCTGTTACAGAATACTGGCCAGTTTATATGCTCTGGGAACCAGCAAGAGTATCTATGTAGAGAGGTAAGAAGGAAAAGTGTTCCTCTATTTTTAAAAATCATGTTTATTCATTAATATGAAGTCCAGAAAAGAACGTAGAAAAAATTGTTGTTGGAAAGATATCATAGAGACAGAAAGTGCTCAGATATTAAGTGGAATGCAGCTGCTTGTATTATAATACACTGATATTGTTGTGTTGTGTGTTTCTAATATATATTCCTTAAGTAAAACAAAAAGTTACAAATAAAATTATCGGACTTCACAATAAATACCACTTGATTTGATGTTCAACTGGGGAACTGTAAAAATACATCATGCAGCTCAGCTATTGTTACCATTCTTTCTTATATATTGTTTAATTGTGATGTATGTTTCTTTCTCATTTCCCTGAATTTAATTTAGTTTGTCACTTATACAACACTACTTCTTTTCTAGTTTAATTACAAATTAGGGAAACAGGGCTTTATGGTTGCTTTATTGTGCATCTGTGTGTCTGCTAACTTCCCTGTGAGTTAAATTTGGTCTATGTTAACTGTATTTAGCCAAAAAATAAAGGTACCTAGATAATTCAGTTCTTAAACCTTAATAGTTGTCCTATAGTGATTGGCACAGTTCTGAGGGAAGGCTAAACAGAGCTCAAACATTTCACATATTGGCAGTAATAATCTAGGAAATTCTGATTCACTAACAAATCAACCTCTGCATAACTCCAGACTAGCCCCATGGCAGTATCTTATTGGTTATTTGGTGGCAGTATCATAGGAAACATTATGTAGAAAGGTGGGGACCAGTGTTTAGAAGTAACAAAGTACACATCTGTGGAAAACCAGGTCTCCTTTATTTCATAAGGGTTGTTAAATTAATTGGTTTTGGTACTTGGCAAATAGATTATGTGGGGTTTGTAGCCGAGATGAAATATGTATGTGTAAGTGACAATTTTTGTATATGGTTGTCTACAACTGTAACCGCAAGTAGAAAGAATATAGTATGCTCTTTGTAGGTGTATGTGCTGGATGTATTTTTGCTTATGTAAACCTAATGAAAAGGAAAAAAAACCCAACCCTGTCGCTGTGCTTGGGAGTTCCCTGACCAAGGTGTAGGACCTTGCACTTGGCTTGGTTGAACTTCATGAGGTTTGCATTGGCCCACCTCTTAAACATGTCAAGGTCCCTTACCTCCAGTGTATCAACCAAACCATATAGTTTAGTGTCATCCACAAACTTGCTGTGGGTGCACTCAATCCCACTGTCCATGTCGGTGATGTTGAACGGATCAGTCGCAACACCAACCCCTGAGGGGCACCACTTGTTATAAATTCCTAAAAAAAAAACCAAACCAAAAAAGACTGAAGATGAGTCTTGTTACACCAGAAGATGAGTGTGGAGGCCATGTTTTCCTTACTTAGAAGTTTACAGAACTCCTGGATTTCTGTCATCTGTACGGCTCAGCTTCAGCAGCTAAGGATTTCTCACATGGCTAAAGTCTGCTCTGATCAACTGAATTGGAAATCAAAGAATAGTTTTAAATGTCCCCTGAAAGACCCAGGTGAAGTGCCAGGATCAGTTACTTCTTCATAGAGGCAGGCTTTTTATAATTTTGACACATTCAAGGAATTTTGGTTATCGAATAAATGTCATATTTCAAGAGATTAGAACAATGCTTTTGTGCAAGATTTTTCAGAATTATTGATCATTAGAAACAGTTCTCCAGTCTCTGAAGAACTTGACTTTCATGCTAAACCAAGATCTGAAATTACATCACACAAATAAAATGATAGTTTTATTTGGTCTCTCGATCTATTCAGTAGCTTTTTCTAAGAGAAGAAATTATAAAGACAGTAAAGCTGAGAGGAAAGTACTAGAACAAAAGGCATTGTTATGACGACTTTAGATTTTCCCTGCATGTTCCTTATTTGGTCTCAGCTAAGCAGGCCACCTTTGGCATTTTATTTCTTAACATTTCATTCATGTACTAGCAGAGGTTTGCTGGATTTCAATTTCTATAACCTATTCTTGTACTAATGATCCTAATAATGTAGTGATTTACCTCTTTGAGGTGAGCTCATCTTAGAATAAAAATGAGGCTGGTATACAACTATCCCGAGGTACAGTCAATCATCAAAGATGTGTATCCTTAACAATGTTTGTTAATTCACAGGCAACGATCAGCACTAGGAGAATGCTTGGCTGCTTTCTCAGGTGCCTTTCCTGTGGCTTTTTTGGAAACTCACTTGAACAAACATAATATCTACTCAATTTACAATACCAAGAATGCAAGAGACAGAGCAGGTATTTCCAGAAACTCACATGATGGTTATGAAAACTCAATTTCACTGTAAATGCTACTTGCCTCAATAAATGTATTTTTGCGTGTATTTTGTAGTGCAAGAATTTTCTTGTAATCCCTTGGTTGTATTTCTTTCCTAAATAAATAGGCTAAGTCAGTTAGCTGATTTTTTTGTGTTTCTGAAGATAACCAATGTTAACATTTTGAGATACCATTCTAAAAATACCATTTTGAAATCAATTTATTGCATGGACTTTGCACATTTTTAGTATCTAAGATGCTTTATATTTGATGATAAAATCATGTAACTCTAGTGCCTCAGTTTTTGTATGCAATATTGGGTCCTAAAACATACATACAATTGAACGAAAATACCTTTGCCTGTACTAAGTACATACTATACCTTTAGAAATTAAATGCACTGCAGAGAAGTATGTAAATTCTCTGTCTGAAATACAAGACAGTATAGATACTTTCTAGTAACATTATGTATATTTTGCATACCATTGTGTTTCATTGTGAAACTCTTGATGTTTCTTATACTAAAACATAGCTGTTGAATAAGGTCATGCACAGTACTTGCTACTATGGTAAATAGAAGTTACAGCAGAACTGTACAGACTCTGCTTTAAGGAGACTGTGATGGCTATGTAAAATGTATTTGCATCTAAGTAGAAGAGACTGTTCTTGAAAGAACACTAGTCTGAGGCTATGTTGGTACAAACACTTGGATTTACAAATTGCAGGCTAAATGTGAGATACACAGATACCTGTGTGTATCATTGTATGTGTATGTCAGGATGTTAGATACTAAACAGTTAATGTGGTTACAGATATTTATTTGTAAATGGAAGAAACTGCCGCAAAAAATAAAGGCAACTGCAGTCTCTTTTCAGAGAAACTGGTAATTCAAAACCTTGAAAAGTAAATACTTACAAACACAAATTCACCTCCAGAATTCAGTTTCTCAGAATTTGCTCTACTCATTATGTCAGGCATTGATTTTTTCTTCTACTGGTATTTGATGTCTCATCTGGTGTGTTGTGGAGAGATGTTTCATTGCATTCATTTGTTTTCTCAACTGCAAAGCTTATGTTGGAAGATATCATGAAATTTAAGCTTTATTTTGATTTCTCAGAATTCATTCTTTAATAATTATATTTTTAAAGCTTCCATATTGGAATTATTTTTATTATAGAAAGTTTTATTATTGAAGCTTATATAAAAATGATTTATTGTTCAATGATATGAAAGTACCTGTTTTTTATTGTTGAGTTTGACTTCTTTTGTTGTAGTTTGATTTTTTGTGGGTGGTTGGTTTTTTTTTCCTTGTATTGGAAGGGCATAAATGTAAATAAACCCCACAATTTTTATGTAATAGCAATTGAAAATAATTAGTTTCCCTCTATGTTTTAGTTTATTGATTTTTGTTTTTTTCCCCCCAATAGTTCTCAATTTGCCTACTACTGTAGAAGAGGTTTGCCCAAATATTCCTTCCTTGGTGAAGCTAATGGAAGAAATTGTGGAACTGGCAGAGTCTGGTATTCGTTACACACAAATGCCACATATAATGGAAGTAATACTGCCTATGCTATGTAGTTACATGTCACACTGGTGGGAGCATGGGCCAGAAAACAATCCAGACAAGGCTGAAATGTGTTGCACAGCTTTGACATCAGAGCACATGAACACTCTGTTGGGTAACATATTGAAAATCATCTATAACAATCTTGGTATTGATGAAGGAGCCTGGATGAAGAGATTAGCAGGTAAGATGTAAAAATGAACGTGTGTATATTCAGAATATATACACACACACTCTGAATTACTGTGTATTTACCCTGTTAAAGCTGAGCAGAACAACACCTGTCTTTTTACATTTTTAAACAATACAGATGTTGATTAACCAGAAATATTCAGTATAAAGAACAAGCAGTGTAAGCAGCACATTTCAATCTCTTAATAAGTAATACAAGAAGTACCTTTAGAATATTTCTTTTTTGCCAGAATATGTACATATGCGTTTTGCGGTATATTGAATCAAAGGACTATAGTAATTTAGGTCATTTTCATTATACAGCAACTTCCCATTTGCAGGCATTACACAGTTTCTTGCTATTCTGTATGAGTGCTGGATCCTTAAAATACTAATTTGAAGCTGTATGTCTAAGATGTATCACAATGAAATGTGGAAATATATGTAATTTTAGTAATGTTTATGTTAACTTCATTGTGACGCCTTAAAATTTATTCTAAACCAGTTTCTTTCTCAATGTTACAGTCTGTAAGGAAAAGTCATTTCAGTTTTGTGAATTTAGTTTTTCATTTAGGCTTTCTTATGATTTTCCTATACTTTCTGTTGTAGTACTTCCATTTATGGTAGCTGTCTGGATTCCTAGTCTTTTGAGGATTAGTAATGTAATGTGCTTTAAGGATATTTGCCTAAAATTCTTTGTAGTCTAATTGATACATTACAAGTTGGTTTGCATTAATGGGTCCAGATGAAATGTTAATTTACATATTCATTTTTATGAGTAGATTTGCAAAAAGCTTGTGCTATCAAGCCTCAAATGGCTGGTTGCTGGATGGTTGAAATGGTGTCATTTCTGTCTACACACAGACCTTCCACTGTCCTAATATGCATAAGAAATGAAAGCAGGCTGTTTCAGTAGGCTTGCAAATAACTAGAACATGGTTTCCACTCGATACGCAAGATAAAAAGCAAGATTCAAAGGAGGAGCCAGTGGCTGAGAAAACTTGTGAGTGCATTATGTAGCTATATAGGTGTCCACCAATACATACAATAAACGATTTCTACACTGCTCACTAAAATTATGCAGGCAAATTCCAGTATGTTGACAGCATGCCAGTAAAGAGGTATTTATGATCTTGCAAGCTTGGTCTGTGAAGCTGTCATTTCTTCCCTCATAATGACAAAGTGAATTGATAGTCAATTTTCACTATGTGAAATCCTGACCACATTTAATTCTTGGCAAAACTTCTGCTGATTTCAATGGGGACAGGATTTTACTCTGTAGCCTAGAAATAAGATCTAAGGAAGAGAGCAAAGGTAAAAGTTTCTATTTATATTTTGTGGCCAGGTATATATTATAATGTTCATTACCTTAAATAGTGTTTTCCCAGCCCATCATAAGCAAAGCGAAGCCACAGCTCTTAAAGACACACTTCCTGCCACTGATGGATAAGCTAAAGAAAAAAGCAGCAGTGGTTGTATCGGATGAAGAACATCTAAGAGCAGAAGGCAGAGGTGACATGTCGGAGGCTGAACTGCTCATCCTAGATGAGTTCACCACTTTGGCACGGGACCTCTATGCCTTCTACCCTTTGTTGATTAGATTTGTGGACTATAACAGGTATGTGGAGAGGAAAGGGTTAATGAATCTTGTAAAACCTTCCTGTTTATTGATCCTGTCTCTTATCCCTTCATATGCTTAGCACTGAATTAAAGTAGCTTTTACTCTGCCTGCCAATCTTGAAGTTGCTAAAGCTGATGCTTTATGACTTCTAGGAGGAGCTGGGATCTTTTTCAGAAGAAAAGAAAAAAAAAAATAATTAAAAGGTGAAATCCAAATCTATTGGGTTAGACCTAGGATTAATGTGGAAGGGTTTTAAGGCTTTTGAAATAGGACATCAAGCAGCCACTGCTACCAGAAATGATCAAAATCATGTATGCTTGCTTTTGTTGGCTTGTATCCTGTAAAATGTTGAAAACTGGTTTCAAAGCATAAAGCCAATGAAGATCATCTGCATTTCCATCCTTTTACCAAATTTTAGGGCAAAATGGCTGAAAGAGCCTAACTCTGAAGCAGAAGAGTTGTTCCGCATGGTGGCTGAGGTCTTCATTTACTGGTCAAAATCTCATGTAAGTAATTCCTTAGTAACTACTTGTTTTAATTAGGTTTCTTAATAGGCAGATCAATTATTTAGTGGTTGTGTTGAGAAAACACATTTAATGACAGAAGTGAAACTGCAGATGGGAAGTTATTTATGACTTTCAGTTTTCTTATACTCTTGAGATGCCTGAATAGCTAGGGAGATTGGTGAGTGTTTTGTAGCATAGTAATACTGATCATAGATATTTTTTGTAATAAATTCCATTTTGTTTGTTGTGGAGTTTTGGGGTGTTCTGGGGTGGAGTGTTTTGGTTTGTTTTGGGTTTGGTTTTGCTGGTTTTTGGGTTTTGTTTTGGTTCTTTATATATATATATATATATA